GAGCAAGGGTCCAAAAATGAACCCACAAGCGAAAAGACTCAAAGGTTCTTCTCGAGTGGGATCTGAATGCGGACCTTGGTGGAAGAAGCTTTCCACAAATGGGAAATGCCCATTGAAAGCTTGGTATGACCAAGACGTGGCCAACGGGTTGACTATCTCACCCAAAAACTTCGCATCTCGAGTATATCACAAGGTCGACAAAAGAGTCGGCCGTGCGGCCGCAAAGCGTGCGCACGCGGAGGCTGTTGGGTTTGCCAACAGTCTCCTTTGTTGAAGAGTTGAAGATTTCGGACCACGGTGATTTTCAGGTGACGAAACAGCTCTTGGCGAACACGGCAAAGGCCTTATTTTGTGTACAGCTGTTGTATGAGCAGCAGCTCAACCTTTTCACTTGCATGTGCGCGGTCAAACATGCGAGCGTGAGGAGCTGCGTGACGGTTGCGCGCGATTTCCTTTCTGAAAGTTTTCAGGTGTTTTAGATTTCCTTTCTGAGAGTTGTGAGGGTTTCCATTTCCTTTCGGAGAGTTTTCAGGTGTTTTTTCGATGTTCTCCCGTCCCTTTTCCTTTCCCTCTCCCTTTCTTTGAATATAATTCTTCAAGTTTTGAAGGTGTTCGTTCCTCATGACACGCTTTTCTGAGATTTCCTTGGTGCCTTTCTTTTCCCTTTGCGGTGACTTTCATTGTTTTATAGCTCTTGGCCCAGAGTTTGTAGCAGTTTTCTTGAAACTCATGGTTTCAGCCGCCTTTACCCTTTGCAAGCAACAGCAGATGCTCAAAACGATGTCCTCGCCTTCCTTGCTCGACAAGTACCGGTTCATGAGCCACGCCCCGCCGCACAAACGCAAGGCGCATGTGCTGGCAAGGAAGATCCGCCAAGAGCTGCTTCTAAGAGGTGTTCATTTGGCCGATGAAGACGACGAGTCGACTGTCCATGAATGAGGCATTTGCGACAGAGGTACCTGTGGCTTTGAAACGCCATGTTTGAGGATGCCTTGCAACGTCAGCGAAAAATGATGCCAGGTGAGAGCCCTTTCTGAGAAAGTTTCCTTTCTTTTCTGGGAGATATATAATTCGGCGCACGAGCAGTATAGACAAATTCGACGCGAAAAAGAAGCGCGATTTCGCTGAACCTTGATCGCGAACCATGAGTCTGAGTTTGATTTCTGTTTCACTTCTTTACCTTCCATCGTCTATCGGTCCTTTCTGAAGGATTTTTTGGCCCGACGTGCAGTTGCCTAGAACATTTTACATGATGACGCAACCTTTCCCATGCAGGAAGGCAAAGCAGAAGAAAATCTCTCCAATGCGGCTGCAAAGAATGTTGGCCATGAGGCTGCCACTCCACAAGCTCGAGAAACACGTTCGATATTTGCGGCAGTCAAAGTGGCGGCAAGCAAGCTTTCTTGCAAAACGCCTAGTCCGCTGCTTAAGGAAGCGAGTTGGTTGCCCAAGCACTTCTGGCTCTGATTGAATGTTAGCAAATTTGCCTGCAAATTCGTGTGCGATAATTGAACATTTGCACGATTCCGCTGCGCACCGCGCTCCAGGAAAAGATGTGTTTCTGCTTTCTGAGCGCAGAGATTTTTGTTTTTCATCAAAGTTTAATAGTTCAAAATAGACCATAAAAAGACTATTTTGGGATAGTCTATTTTGATGATAGCCTCGAGACTATCTTGATGATAGGATAAGACATATCCTATTCTCAGATAGACTAAGCGGAGCCTTGGGGTGGCTCTGCTCGGATGTTCACCACTAACGCTCGGGCCTCACGTCACTTCGGCACTCGCTCCACCTCGCAATTCACTTGCTGCACCTCACAACTCTCTACTACACATACCGTTTCTATAACTCTCTCACCTCACATATTCTTACCCCACACTTGCTTTCTACCGCGCGTCGCTCGCCCCGGCAGTCCTTTGCACCTGACTTCGTTCTGCAGGACCACCCTGCTCCACTTGACCTGGCCGGACTACCCGGTGTCAGGTCACATGCACTTGGGAACAACTCCCTGCGACATACTCCATGCATCACTTGGCCGGTCTACGATGGTCACTTGCAACATCCGGTCCTCCATCCCCCCCGGCCTCACATTGACTCACTTTTTGCTCGCTGACAGTGCGTCCTTCGCCTTGTGTAGCCTTCACACACTTTACACTTACTTCCCCAGGCATGGACTTCATAGTCCAACTTCACCATGACGGCGGAGATCACTCTGCCACATGCCAGCTTGCCCGGGATCACACTTCCACTATGCACAGTACCTGTGAGACCATGCCTGTACAGCTCTGCTGTGGCTTTCTTTTTTGGTGGCCCGAGTTTGGCTGTGACGACTGCCTCGAGGTTTCTCTCATCTTCACTCTCGCGGTCCTCCGACTCTTCTTCACTGCTCTCACTTGTCACCTCGGACAGCTCCACCAACCTGTGAGTCGGCTTGCCTGGAGACTTCACCTCGAGCATGTCCCACTGACTTTCGGGGATCAGCACTTCGTCGCCATCCGGCTCCACTTCTTGACCTCCCTCACTTGGAAGAACCGGTGACTTGACCCAGCGTTGGTTCCGGTGCGCGTCCGGTTTGAACTTGCCTGTGTAAATGTCCGTGATCACATTCGTCAGGATGTCTAGTCCCTCGGCCAGTGCGTCCCTGCTGTAGATCACCACACTCTTGTCCTTGGGCTTGACATGGTACCCCAGCAACCTTCGCACTTTCTCTGGGGCCATGGCCTTTGCAAGCCATGACAAAGCCGTCGCCTTCATGGAGTGAGCACCGACATCCCCCAACTTCTGGGGGTAGATGGCATACTTCTGCAGCATTTCACACAGCCAGATGGAAGCCTCAGGCGTCGACAACCTTGCCTGGCTCCACCCGCCTCCAGGCACTGGCGTCGGCAGGAAAGGGCGTCCCGGCAGCGCTCTCAAACCAGACATGTTCCTCAGCTTGAGCAACTCCTCCGCCCATTGGACACCTGTCACACCTTGGCACGGTGCAACCACCGGGAGAACTCTCCTTGCCCTGCCAACCAGTGCGTCTGTCTTGTGAATGCTTGTGCCACCTTCGAGGTACCCTCCATCGACCGTCGGCTCAGAGTCAATGCCTTGGCTGTCACCAAACCTCAACCTGCCATACACACATAGCAAGCAGTGCCCAGCAAATACTCGATCTTGGAGGGGGAAGCCTTCTCCTGCCAGGACTATCTCGAGCAGCGACACTTGGGACACTGTCAACGCGTCCCTCTGCCTCAACACCCTCTTGGTGAGGTAACTTCTGTGTGCAGAACCAGTGATGCGACCGCTCTGCAGGATCTCGTCCACCCCCTCCAACTGTATAGTCCCTTTGCAGAAGGCTAGTGCACTCCTGAAACTATTTGCACGAGTGGCTGGGGCTCCATCTTTCCGAAGCTGGTCAACATACTGGTACACTTGGGCCTCGACAACTGGGAAGGGTGGAAGACCTTTGGCCCTCGCCCACCTGATGTATATCATCATGGCGCTCAGCCTCACTTGCAGCGTCCCGTTCTTCTTCTTCGCAAAGATGTCCTCGAGCACTGACTCACCGGCCTGGTCGAGCATGCCTGCTGCTTTGCACGACTTCCTGGCCTCGTCGATCACGATCTTCCACCCTTCCATCACTTTCTCTCTTTCTGTTTCCATGGCTTTGGACCATGGCATCCGCTGGCTTCCATCGAGCTTGAAACTTGGCACCATCTTCCAGGCATCTTCGACCTTCTTGATCTCTCGCTGCACGTCCTCGTCGATCCGGATTGCATGAGGGGCTCTTGTCTTCTCATCCAGGAACCTGGTCTCCATAACCGACGACTTTCGTTCCAGCACCAGACCTGCAAAGCCTTTCTCCCATGGCATCTTGAGCTCACCTGGAACGTGGAACTTCAGTTTCTGCACCTCGGAGCGCCCCATCTCATACTCATCACACATGATGGGGTCACCTGCAGCAGGAGCTTCTGCATTCTTCGTCTCCTTCATGTTCTCGACCAACTTCTTGAGGGCCTCCAATGGGCTCATCTTCACCTGCTCATGGTCGCTGTTGGAGTACATCCATGACTTCAGTTGGGGACCCTGATCTATCGCCCTCACCATTGCGGATGTCCTCAGCTCTCATGCCCTCGAGCTCTTTGAGTCTGGCCGCCATCTCATGGATATTCCCCACCCGCTCGAACTCCTGGGTGGCATCCATCTGCGTGACCTCCATTGGCGTGCCCTCGTCGTCCGTCACCACTATGGGCCCCCCGCACCACCTCCCCCTGGCTTGGGGGCCAACTCATCATCCAGCTCCATGGCTTGGGTGAAAAACAACAGAGTGCGGGGGGGGCCCCTTACTTGGAGCCAAAATGGCACGTGGATTCGACCGTACGTCACATGGTTCCTCCCTGTTTCTATTTGTCAAAATACATCATCACTACGTGACAGATTGCATAATTTGTCACTCTACACCCATAGGATCCTGAGGGCTTGTCCAGTTTTGTTGTATTTGTTGCTTCTATTTTGTTCGCAAGAAAATGAACACCATCTACAGACCTCCCCGCTCAGATCAACCGATTTACAAGAAGCTACTAGTAAGAAGTGCATCGCTACGGCTACTAGTAAGAAGGGCATTACTAGTAGCAACAAGCTACTAGTCATAAGAGCAAAGACCTCGACAGAAGTTGTTGAACTCCAGGGGCGGAAAGGGAAAAACAGATCAACTGGCAATGAAGTCAGAATGGATCAAAGAGAATTCTGGTCTAGTTTCCTGATACATCTTGGTAGTGGCCACGATTTTGGACACTGGTCCACCTCTTAAAACTCTTTGAACTAATCATGAAAGTGAAGCTCACGACCTGTTTGGTATTCGGAAGATGGTTTTCCAGGAGCCAAAGTCCACTTACATTCATGATATTTCAGGGAGTGTACCTCCAAACACGATGTGAGGGAGGCCTCCAAACCCCTGGACCAACCCGACTCGACTCCACCTCCAATGGACTCCGACCAACACCGGTCCAAGGGGCGTTTCCGCCATGGAATCCATGAAAGGATCTAACTCATCGCGCGATGCAATAATCCCCTGGTGGCGTACGTCTCGATGCTGCTTCGCGTTTCTGGGGAAACAGCATGGACAGAATTCTGTGAAACATCATGTGAACAATCTGTGTTCTAATCAGATGCAAAGGTCCAATTTCTCAAGTAGGTGGGAGTCTTTGTCTTTGTGAGTGTCTATTTATCGCTGGCCTTCGGCGGCTGAATCAGACCGTCACAAAACAAAACACTCGTGGATGACTTCGAACCTTCCTAGATTCAGGTCACCACACACATTCCAAAAACGCGGACAATCATGTACAAGAAATTGAAGTGGTGTGCTCCTCACAATTGATTAGGCTCCTTGATCAAATCGGCCTTTGGACACCAAAACATCAACTCGAGATGGGCGTTCAATAAGACAGGTTCAACTTTCAAGCAATGGAAACGTCCTTGGTTTGTCCATCTTTTCCTTTTCACGTCAGAACAGTCAGCAAATGAACAGGTGACCGTTCCGCAACACTCCTTGGCCAGAACAACCGATGGCACTGAGTGCCCCAGCGCGATCCCAGCCAAACCTTGGGCGGTGCCGGCATATAGATCGTGTTCCGCCGACCTCCAACGTCAGGTCCAGTTGCTCCAAACGTCAGGTCCGTTGCCAACGCGACGTCCCTCGGACGCGACGTCGGTCTGGGGAGACCCAGCAATCGATCGATGGGTGTCACTCGCTGAGCAGCACTCAGCTCCTGGCGAAGAGGGGGGATTCGGTGAGGAGAAGTCAAACGCATATAGGTTGGGTCACCTGTAACAGTGGATGATGGTTAGTAAAGGCCTTGTCCAAAAATAGTAATAATTGACTGTTACAGGTAATAGGACAAACCCAACACATAGGATCATACAGGTTCTTTTGAGGTCCTGTATAGGCTAGGCTACTCAAGTGGACAAACAATCATGGGAATCTTGCGTAGATAGAGAGGGTGCAAAAGTCATCCATCAGGTCACTCATGCCCTTGCTGATGTTCTGTGAGTTGCATCATCCCATTAATTGACAAAAATGGAACCCTGGGTTTCTTGGAGGGGCGGAACAACCTCCACTCCCCAATGGCCCAGGTCATTGAACATGCTCGCACCAGTCCTGTTGCTCATAAGCCTCATTGAGCCCAAGACCTTCCTGGCACGGAAGGGGTCACTTGGATCCAGCGCCACCACCAAGCACCACCTAGCACCATCCTGTCGGGATACTTCTTGGATAGTAAACACATTGCAGGTCCAGGAGTCCAGCAACACCCTTCGGGTAGGGCTAGTAGAGTCGAAATTCTTGCACTAAACCTCCACCAGATCCATGCGTCCGTCCCCAGTGGTCATTCGGTTTCCTCCCAAATCTCCCGGACCTGCGGAAGACCAGCACAGATGTTCCACTCCATTCCAAATCCATGGCAGTGGCGGAGTTGCACAAATCATCATGACTCTATACCTCCATACCATCTCTCAAACTCTTCACCTCCTCATCCCCTCCCCAGATCCATCTCTCCTCACCACCAAAAAACACCAAAGCCCGCTGAAACCGGACCATCGTTCCATCCCCATTCCTTCCCATGGTTCCTTTCGGTATATACCGCGACCGACGTCCCCAGAACCTTCCATCCACCTCTCCGCTGCCCGGCCTTCAAGGCCTTGGCGAAGTCGGCCCCAAAGTCCGGCTCCGGGCGGATCTCCGGCGCCTGAGCGCTGCGCTCAGCCGAGGAAGGGGTGCGCTGCCGCCGCCGCCGGCGGGTCCCGGATTCTGTTGGGAAACGGGGGGCGTTGAAGGACGGAGGGTTCGGAGGCTTTTCTGGGAGTTACTGAGTCACTATGCGGGTGTTTGAGTTACAAAAGACACGAGAACAAGAAGAAACATGAAGAAACCCATCATTTCCCTACCTTGCTGTGGGGCGCTGTGGGGGGTCCCCCTCTACGCTCCATTCGCCCCCAACCAACAGAAGCGGACGTCGGTTCTTCGACCAACGCGTCTGAACCTTTGGTCGCGTTTGTGAACGCAGCTGGAGGATTCGGAGGGCTAAAACAACATCTCTGGTTGAGACAAACCTGACGGATAGGCCTCACACCGACGGATGTGTTCCTCCCACCGACCACCTCCGCACCTTTCCAGCAAAGATGGGCGTCCATCGGAGGCGAGCTTCACCTCGAGAGCAGTCGGGCGAGGACTGGAGCACTGGAGCGACGAAAAGTCCTCAATCCAAGCTCTATAGGAAGATGGACCAAATGGATCCAAATGGACTGAAAGGTGGAGGCTTCTTCTGCCTCAAGCCAATCGGTCAACTGCCGCATGTGAAAAAGACACACAGCATCACACAGCTCGCCAAGACATGGATATAAATATTGATACATGGGTCCTTTGTGGTGGAACTTCTGAATCATTACAAGTCCATGCAACGTGAGGAGCCTAGAAAAATCCGTTCAAAGTCCATTTTCACGGCGGGCACATCGGGCGAATCCTTCTTCCTTGACAAATGTATGAAGAAAGTCCTGCAGGGCTTATGAAGAGGTTTGTTTGCTGACAGGGTCAATGGATGTCAAAGGTGACCCTTGACAAAGAACTGCCAAGCAGAAGTTCTGACCGGTAGAATACGGTTAATCAGTCCCTGAGTATCCAATCATGTACTATTCACACACTTGGCCAACAATGCAGGATTTACGTGCTTGGTGAGAAGTGTTGTTGCTGTTGTTGTTGTTGTTGTTGTTGTCGTTCACATGCTTGGTGCACATCGTCGACTGGGCGCGTGAAAGTGCGTAAAAACGACACACGCGGCGACGTGAAATTGGTTTTGTTGTTTTTGTTAATTAAGCGTCATCTATTTAGTATTAATTTGTTGTTTCCGATGCAAAAAGGGACCTCTTATGGGCGGCTGATGTGTATGTTGAGTTGAGTTTCTATACTCCCAAGGGCTCCAACCATATCCTCAGGGGTGGGGGTGGGTTTTGCAGGAATCCAACTACCTTCTGAGGATGTGGTTGGAGCCGGAGGGGCCAGTCTTTGGTTCTGAAACACACACAATACATTGATTATAACAACACAATAGTCATAATAACAACAATTCATAATATATATATATATATAACTTATAACGCCCTCTTCATGGCCTGCGCGCTTTGGGCGGCCAAAGAGGCCTACAAAGACTGCCTGACGCTGTTGAGATCAATGCTGGTGAAGCTCAGTCACAATGTCAAATCGTCAAGAAGAAGAAAGCACCAGAGATTGACATAATTTGATGCTTCCACTTCATCCGAATCACCAACTGTAGATGCCCATGTTGCAGTGTGAAAAACCGCACAAGGCGCCTGGCCAACACAAGCCACCGCCAGTGCAAATGCCTCGGCGTCTACTCGTACGCCGCCACCGAAACTCGTGATGGATACAGCATAGCCCAGCCAGTGTGTTTCTGCAGCAAAAACACATATAATTCCAAATGCTTCAGAGGTGGAAGAGGAGCCATCTACCCTACACGAGGAAAGCGTGTAGGTAGGAAGGGAGGAAAAGTATAGATTCTATACACTGTGACATCCCTTTTGGTTCAAAAAGCAACCTCTGGTGCAAACCAATCATGACGGGGTTTGTCACCCGATCAACGGTCAAACGGTCCCAAGCGGCGAGCGATCAAGCGAGTGAGCCCATCTCCCAGCCCGACATGTCGCAAGCGGGCTGGAAGCTGTCGCAAGCCTTCGGAAGATCTAACATCCAATGCATCCAACAGAAAATACGTGATGTAGTTGTGACTAAACCTAAAAAGAGGTGAACAGAAACATGAGAAAAACAAAAAAACAGCCATGGGAAGTGAAGTGTGACAACAGCATCCCAATCCATCCCCTACCATTCCCCGACCATCCTGGCCTTCCTTCGACTCTCTGCGTTTCGCCATCCTGGCCTTCCTCCCCCGAACGGAACCACCCGCGGAAGGAACATCACTCTCAGACTGTCACCCAAAACCGTCGCGCGAGGGGTCTTCCTCCGGAAGGGGTCCTGCAAGCGCGGGTTCCGGTGTCGGTTCCGGTCGTAGGTGCCGTAGCGGGTCGTAGGTGTCGTCTTTCGTGGTCGATCAGTTTGTGTCACTTAGTTGGCTTGAAGAAAGGGGCGTAGGTGTTGGTATTTCAAAGCTACTAGCAACAATCAACCGAGCTCAGCTCAGGCTTTTTGCGGTGCCTCAGGTATGCTCCAACAAGGTTGTGTTGGTATAGCCAAAGCTCAAACTCAAAGCACTGGGAAATGACAAGGGAACTAAATCCAACATCTACAGTAGCCAGGGTTGTGTTCTTTTCCACCAAAGGCACATTCCAGCAACCTTTTTCTCCCACTCCCTAGAGATTTTGGCAGTTCCACTGGGTATCTTTCAAGATTATCAATCACGTTCATCTCATTCAAACTGAAATCTAAGTGTTCATTTTGGCTGTTGGTCTTGCAACCAAAGAATTGAGACTATCATGGCCTTTATGGGCGCTTTCAACTTGCGAAGGAAGCAACTGGACCTCTTGTTTCTGACAAACAGTGCTCCCGCTGTGTCCCCAAAAGCGACCTGATGAAGTTGACACAAATTTGGCCTGCCCATGCTGCTTCACCCCCAGAAACGCAATCCACCAAAAGGACCCCTCATGAATGTTTGGTTCGTAGGCCTGAGGGCGGCCATTGCCGCGAATGCCGGCCAGGAGAAATGTCGTACTCGCGGGAACTCTCAACAATTGTGTTGTTTGTAGCTGAAGCAAACCAATCGGTTCAGCAAGTCCCTTGACAGTGTGGAACAAACTACGTCGGTCTGACATGCTGACTTTGATGTGGGATGCTCTCGTAGTGCGGGGTTTCTGTGGCCCGTTGCACTTTCTTGTCTGGAATTTACGCAACAATCTACTTTTCAGATGTGCTACAAATAGCCTCACACTTTCTTCGAAGATTCTGACAGCTCTTAGAAAACAAGACTGTTCCAATCCCACGCCAAAGTAATTACCTTCAATCCCTCTCAGCCAACATCTTCCTGTCTCAACACACCAAGTCTTCAATAAGTCTTCTCAAACAAACTGAGTTGAATCTTGAATGGCCAATGTTTCAGTCAGCCCAACAAGGCATTAGCAGCTCCTTGAACCAAAAAAGAATCGGAACGCAAACCGAGTCCGATGCTTCAGGACAGCCGACAAAACACACATGTTTAAAGACGTATTGGCCAATCAAATTGGCAGAATGAACCTCGGCCATTCGGATGTCATGGCAGGATCACCGTGATCGATCGCCAACAAGGACCAGCTCTCGGGAGACCCCGGTCTCCCGTCTCCGTTCTCGAGCTCCAAAGCTGAAGACGACATTCGAGACTGGGCGCACATGGAAAGAGAAGCAAGTACTTATCATTGTAAGACATACCGGGCCAATGCAACTCTGCCGTAACAGTAAGAACATATCATTCCCAAGATTGGATCACACTAATGGCCACTAATTTGCCCATGGTGAATGCTGACAATGATTCCTCCTGGACAAGTATTCAGTCATGTTTTGCTGCAAGACGTGTCGACCTGAGAAGAACATACATAGATATTGTTCGAGTTTGTTAAATATCACAGTACGATACAGTATGTCCTGTTTGTGTCCCAACTTTTACAAACACCAAGATGTTTTTGTTGTCTTTGTAAATATTATTTCCAAGAAAACATGCTGATGAGGAGTTCCGTGTGGCTTCATGTCGCTGCTGATGGATTCATCTGCTTGAAAATAAAACCATTATAAAACCAACGTCCAAGTCCCCTAAATAAGTTGAGCTTCAACTAAACTCAACAAGTTCGACAGCTATCTTTAGGCCATGTCAGAAATGCACACAGCAGCCGGCCTTTTAGCTGCAGCGAACTCCTCTCTTTACATGTTGACCACCTACTGAGCTGCTCCCCTTTGGGGCGCAGCCAGGAGGGGCTCAGCCACCCACGCGGTTTTCTGTCCGTGTCGTTCGACGAGACTGTTGAACGAGGCGCTTCGACGAGAGGTCGTCAACTCGGTGAGTAGGGTACCCCTCCGTACCGAACGCTCGTCTTTTTTGGACTCCATCGACTGATCGTGTCTTGTAGAAGAACGGAAGAACCAATTCATAAGAATGGACAGCTGGATAAACACCAGGACAATCCCTAAACAGTTTAGTGGGACAAAGTCTATTGCTGTATTCCTATGGCATGTCAACCGTGTACAAGTTGAGCGGACAAAGCTGGTGAGCCGAGCTGGTGAGTTGAGCGCAGCAGGGTGGAGTTATCCCGAGCAGCTCTCCCTGGTTACGCCACTGAAAAGGAGATGCCAACTTGCTAGGAAGTCCAGTCATCCATCCTAAAACAAATAGAGTAGTGTGGTATTTCAGGAAACCTTCGGTCACCTTCCTATTGAGACCTCTTCCTAAGTTCTCTTTAAGTATTACTGCATGGCAACTGTGCATCCACAATGTATGTCCCAAATGGCCCGAATTCATGTCTTTTCAACATCACATGCTGCTGCGGTTCCATTGTGATTGTGTGTGAGAGTGCAGTTTGTTTATAGTTCCTGTTTAGACACAAAACATGTGGAAGGAAACTCCCGAGTATGACACGGGACGGCCAAAACTCACTCGTTGGTTTCAGGTGAAGTGGGCGGCAGATTTCGAGACCAAGCGGATAGCCCATGAGAGCAGGTCTGTGAAGGAAGTCTGGTCTATGCAGTAAGGTTGAAGGGCTCCACCCTGGAAGACGCTATGTTCCGTTGCGAAGCAATCTTCCGGGAATGGGGTCCCAGGCCTTGTTTTGGCCCATGGTCCCCCGTGGCAAAGAATGTGGGATGCATGATCCCTTCAAAGTTGGCATTCTCAACCAACCAATCGTTCACACTTAAACAGCTTTGATCGAGAAACACAGCATATATTACTCTTATTGATACCTCTTGATGCTCTTTTGCAAGCTACATGATGTCCGCAGCCACCTCAGTGGCTGCAGCAGGTATGCGAGCGAAAATTCATCCTCAAAGGAGGCTTGGACTACTTACAGCCAGCCGTTCACCAGCTGATCCACTTTATCTCTGCGCCTGGCGAAGGCATGAGGACGGCTTCAGCCCATCGGAGGAGGGAGGTGTTGGCGTGTGTCCGGCCCGCTGCCTCGCTGAATCAACTCATCTGATGTCAACATACTGTTCTTTCGAAAACCTTGCATGGATCTTGCCAGGAAAAGGGCCGTGATATCTCAGGGAAGATCCAAGTAGGACTTGGAACGCCTCTCTCTCTCTCTCTGCACATAACTTCCTCGAAGAAGGGCTCTTGGGTCATGAATCTCTCCAGAATGGCACTAGCTCATCCCCTCGACTGCAGGGGTGGGGAGTAGTGGTCCGCCTGTGGGGATTGAACCCGGGTCGGACGAACATTCGGGATGAATCACTAGACCATACGACATCACTAGACCATACCGGCCCTCCCAGAATGGCAAAACCTTTGCAGCCACATCTTAAAGTCAAAAGCAAAACAATACCCTACAAGTCCAAAGACCCAGTAAAACCATGTAAAACCTGGTCCTTTACATTATTGAATCGTGTTTTTGTATGACCAACTCCAGTAAAATGAGGTCATTGACTTGTAGGGTACTCTTCAGAGCTGCAAAGGGGTTGTTTTCTATTCCCTTGAATGAGTGGAGTAGCTGGGCACCATTGGGCACCCAAACCTCCATGAAAAGGACTCTTTTGTGACTGCGGGTTCATACTTCCAGCATCTTCCAGCCTTGCTCCCAGGTTCTCATCCGAAAACCTTAATAGTAGATGATGTTGGTTCAGTTGAGCCATTCTACCTGAGCTAGAACTGCTACAGTGCAGGCTATACATTTCCCCGAAATTCTAAAAACCAAATGATTAGTGCGAGCTATCCGATTTTCCTGCGTCCTACCTAGGCGCTTACTTCTTCCTTTATTTGATGAAGTAGGGAGGGGGTCCACTTGCTGAGACACACACCGAAACTCTCGCATCCCGCACCTCCTCCAAAGGTGTGCCTTGGGCGGCGCAACGATTGAAAGGGCACAGGACACTGCAGCTTCGCTGGATCTAACGGTCGCGACCTCATGTGGTTTGTCAATTGTTTGCAATTCTTATGGGTATATAGCTTATGAAAACGCACATCTCCTCGATCCTCATGATATCTCATGATATCTCATCTCATTTCACATGTCAAAATCATGTTTATCTCTCCAACTCCTCAGCCTCCCCACTCTCCCAGCCTCCCCTGTTCCCCAGCCTCCCCGGTCCGGAAACACCGTGGACGCAGTCTCCTTGCATCGGTCCGGATCAATGCATCCAAAGGGAGAGACGGACGTCTCACCAAACGGCTAAAACGCACGTCTCAGCCATGAAACTCTGGCCTGAGATGGTGACTCCTTGAGGTGTGTGTCTTGCTCCTTTTTCATCGCGGAGTGTTGTGGCCGCCGACGTCGCTGTGGATGTCCGGTACGTTTGCTGTTCCATTTAAAGCGCCGACATCCTGTGGCATCTTCTGTCAGCCTATTTGACTGGTATTGGCGTCCCAGAATCCTTTTTGACAAACCTGAACATACAATAACATACATGATGTTGATGGTCTGATGAATCATGATAACCCCACAAAGCTCGTTTGAATGTTCGTGCTGTGTCAACATCTACGTACGCATAAGTTACAAGGGATGAAACAACTCTTCCACATGTCCAAGTTCTATGCATTGCCGATCTTGAATTTATACCTGCCTTACTTGTGGAATGCCTCCAGAAAAAGTGACAAGCTTTCAGCGTGTCCTTCTCTGAAGCAATGCTTCTCTGATGCAGAATTGATGACAAGCTCACACTTCAACCGCCTCATAATAATTCCAGTTTGGTTCTGGTTACCCTAGCTGCCCAACGAGAATCACCACCGAACCATCGTCACCTGGCAAGTCTCAAACGACCATCTGGACTCTGGACCTTCCACTCAACCAACGATTGAGGGGAGTCGATTGTTACTAGTAGCTTCTTGTTCCTTAGTAGTAAGGCCAGGAGCTACTAGTAGCATCCTTGCTCCGTTGGTAGCGATGCCCTTTGTTACCAGTAGCGTCCTTGTTCCTAGACCAAGGCGACCATCCCAGGAACGACCAACGCGTCGTGGTGCTTTCAAACAAACAGTCCTTCCCCAGTGTCCAGACTTCCACGCCGCTGGACGTGGTCACCGGCCGAGTGGAGTCCTCATTGGTCGTCTTTCATCCGGAGAGTTGATCGCGGAAAGCGCAGGGATCGCGGATTGGTCCAATGGAGGGGGTGGATCATGGAAAACAACTTTGTGTGTTTTCGCAGGTGTTTTCCTCCCAGACCACAAAGTGCAGTCAACATTGTCAACATACTGCCCGAAAACATCACATTCAGTTGTGGGGACAGAACCACAATTTGCAGCAACATGAAGCAATACGTTATCTGGAGATCTTCCACGATATCTCCATGATTCTCCGGATTCCTATGACTTCCCCACGATTGCACCACCTAGATCCCATCCGAAACGACCAACCCAACGACCAACGACGACCATCGACGACCATCGACTCGTCCGTCGGCGGGTGTCCCGTGACGGCCCGTGTTCTTCTCCAGAGACTGGTCCGAAGACCGGTCAAACATCCTAAGATTTGATGACTTCCACCCTGTCAGGACGTTTCCAACGGATGTGTCAACTGCATGACCCAACTGTGTGTCAGTGACATTGCTTCTTCTCACTCGAACTCGGTGGTACAGGTGGTCACTAGTAGTTTGAGTTCCAATTCGCTGCTCCGAATTTCCATCTTCCTCAGTTTCCCTGGAAAAGAGGACCATATAACCATGTTGAATTTCTTTCCACCTGTTGGACAGTGGGGAAACCATGCAAAACCTCTCCCCCAGAAAAAGCTTGGACAAGTTATTCATGGTTATTCACTGGTGTAGGGATTTCACATCCCCAAACCCCTGCTGCGCAGCGTGCGCAGCAGAACGTCGCTCCGTGCCGCGGCCTCGGCGGTCTTGGGCCGCAGCGTGTGGAAGCCACCTTGGCGTGTGGAGGTGCACGGGATGGGGGAGGCTTTCCTGGGAAATGCTGGATGCCATTGAACAAAAAGGGCTGACACAGGGCCACAGGGTGGATTCCTTTTATGGGTGGGTTGTAGGTGCCTGAGACAGTTGGTGGCTTTGGGCTTTGGATGTGCTTTGAAGACTGATTGATTTTCTTTGGTTTGCAGGTCGCTTTAGTTCTAGTGACCAGGCCAATTCATCAGGTTTGTGTGCGATACCAAGGTTGAATATGGTTGAATTGGGTGATACTCCGAGCCTAGCTTGATTCCACGCAAGGCTTTGCCCAAGGCGCACCCAAATGCACCAAGTTGGAAACTCAGCAGGTCATCTGAATCTGACACTTGCCTAACATTGCAATATGCATCACCTTTTAGATCCACAAACTCCCTCAACTCTTACACCAATTCTCCATCCCAACTTGGCCCACTCGTCCCACCCAGGTGCCCCGGCACCAAGTATCGGAGGGCATCAGCATCTCAGCCACCTCGAAGAGGCCCCGACGCCGTGCCTCGTGCGGTGCGCTCGGGCAGGTATGTTATTGCTACCCAATGAGACCAAAGGCAACCACTTCTTTAAAGGATAACCTGGTATAACCATGTATAACTGTATAACCTGTTGTTGCTCGACTGTTCTGTTCCAAAGACTGAAGCTGGAAAACGAGCCTTCCAGACTGCGACGCTCGAGTGAATCCTATGTCTTGACCGCCATGCCTCATCGGCTGCCCCACTGCAGCGCGCCAAGGCCTGGGCATGCTGCCCATTTGTCGTGTGTGGGGTGGAGAAGTCGTGAATTGGAACCAGAGGGGAAAAGATCGCAAGAAATCCCAAGGCCTCAGTGTTGCTGATTTGCTGATCAAAGGCCCCCCCCATCAAACCCTGGATTCCTCGCATGCGGTAAAACATCACCATAATTATGCCATATGCCATTGACCTCTTTGGAGTGTCTAACTCTTTAGGGACTCAGTGACCTCATTCTGAGGTTGAAGGTCCTGGTTGGGGGGGATTCATCAACGGTCTACACCCCAATTGAAATCCAGTAAGGCTGACAGCCGCATTCCTCCTGTGCTGAATTCCAAACTTGCCTAAAACACCACAAACTTACACAAGCTTACTCCGTGATGCAACTAACTGCATAATATACTACTATTGCATACTAATTACACCCAACTCACTACATAATTACCCAACTCCAGAAGACCCAAAAACATCCCATCCAACTCATAAACCGTAAACCCACTACCCACTATGCCAAGTTTTTTTTTCTCCCAAGCACGAGCTTCAACATTCAGTTGGGTTCTTTTCTCGCCTTTTTTCAGAAAAGAACACTCACCCTCCATCCGTCTCCCGTCCTCTCAACCCCTTTGGCCGAACGCGGTCCCCAAAGCTCGCTCCGTCCAGGGCCCTCAGCCGCGTGGAAGGCCACCGAAGCACGGTCCCGTGTATCCATAGCCTGGCCGGTCTGCAACGACCTCGAAGGACAGTGGGGAAGAACGAACAATCCTTTGGTCACACTTTTGCTGGTGCTAAACGATGTTAAACAAATAAAGCCTGCAGTTCTGCAATGAACATCAGTTGTTCGCTCGTTTTGTGTTGGCCAACACGGCGTGTCGGGGGTCCATCTCGCAAGGAAGAAGAGCCCCAGCTGGAAGATCAAGGCTTGGTCACCTCTCTGGCCGTAAAGGGAAGTGTTGACCACCGGTCGCACAGGGAACTTTTTGGACGCGGACAGATTCCACCGCATCAGGGCTCGGCGCACAGCAGAGCCCGGCGCATGGCTCCATGGCCAGGCCAAGCAGTGCAGCTCCACCTGAAACAACACTCACCACTTGGAGGATGACACTTGGATGTCAAATTGATTGATTCTTCAGGTTCTTAATTGAACGTGGAAACCCCATTCCTTGGGGGACGCATTTTGTTCGAGACACGTCTCGCAATTTTTTGCCCCATCGGAGGCAACTAAACAAACATGAAAACGCATGAGAACACAATAAATAACATCGCAACCACGCTGAGCAAACACGGCAACCATACTGCAAATCGCCACCATAGTGAATGGATATGATTCGTGTCCCGGAACAGGCGCATGGCTCTGGCAGTCTTTTTACCCAATCTACGCATCGTATAGTCTCCGCAACTCACAAGTGGATCCCATTGCCAAACTATGATAAAACGAAGATACACAACAGCGGTGTCAGAGAAGAAATATCTGCAGTATGCACGGTATGCATCCCTTGGGGCGCCAAACACTCAACCCCCAGATTCTGAGAGGCTCCTTAACTCCACATCAAACAATTCTGCCATAGACTCTGCTTGGCGGATGTGTCCCGGATGGATTTCAGGTCAGTCCTGAAGACTTCCCGAAGACTCCCACTCGAATGACTGCTGCAAACCTGGTCCTTTGTGGTCGCTCGCGACGGCGAAAGCGAGGGTGGGCCTGCTGGATCAAAGGAACCTCCAAGTGTCGGCACCAGAAGCGCCACCAAGTGTCGGCAGTCACATCAGATCCTCCAGGAGCGATTCATGTAACTCTATATGCACCCCCTAGTTTCCCTGAGGAAACACCAACTAAAAGGGAAACACATGCATTGAAATGGCATGAATGCAATATGATCTCTTTTTGGGGCACTGACACAACACAAGAATTGATGTGTCAGCTGGATTGCAAGGAATCATGGTGAGAATGGACCAGGAGATGAAATGTCGGGACCAGTTCTCTACCCTTTTCACAATTGCTTTCTTTAGGGTCTGCAGCCATGCGTTGGGACCATTAGGCCATTAGGCCGTAGGCATTAGGATCCGCTTCCGGTCACACCGGCCAGCAACAGGACACAAGGAACGTGCACTCTTGTCTTATGAGAAAACCCTGGCAAAGACAGCTACGTCACATTACTTATATTTGGCTTAAACCATCTTGACCATGTAGCTGGGCTTGTTCAGTTTATGCATCAAACATGCATCAAACATGTCTCTCAAAAGATCTCAAAAGATCTCCCAATCTGCATTTTGCCATTGTATCTGCACCCCACACAAGAACCGAAGTTCCTATATGGAACTCACTGCATAACCAGCTAGTCCTAAGATTTCATGACGCCCAGGGCCCGGGCCCATTCAGGGCCAATGGGCTCCAGGTCAGCCGAGCATCGTTCTTCGCAAACTTCCCAGATGCTGCAGAGGTCCTCCAGCGAGGTCTCCAAGGCTCTGCGCATCACCCGTGCCAGTGCGGGGGCCAACCTGAAGCCGAAGCCGTTGCTTCACGATCTTGGAACGGCTGAAGCAAGTGCGGGGCTGTTTTGGTGAACAGCCGAAGTGGAACTCTGGACCCGAAGTCAACAAGGACTTTGCTGGATTGAAGTCCTCAAATCGAAGGCATTGGCACATATTGAAACAGCCGCATTCTGCCCAGCAAACGAATCCCTTTTTGGATGCGATCGACCAAACCATCTCAACTGCTTGTCTTCGCTTGACCAAGACCTCTCCACATCACAGGCCTCCTCTCATTGAGTTCTGCTTGGACCCAAGCCACTGCTCCGCTGAAGCGAAGGGAACCCTCCTGAGACGCCTCTTGAGCTCCATCATCGAGACATCCACCCCGTGGGCCTTCGCCTCCTGTGGCCGATCAACCGGACCGCGTGCCGGTCAAGCAGAAAGGATCGTCATTTACTACCAGGAGGGTACCCTGTCTGGAAGCCTATAGATAGTGTGGGGTAGTTCAGCCAGGACACCCCAACAGGAGGGTCCTGGTATAAGATCTGAACATGAAGGTGGTCCTGAAGTTCACCTTAAGTCGATAGAGTGGAAGTACACCAGGCCTATCAGCGGCCTATCCATTGTCCTGTGCTGAGCAACCCACTGAAGTGGGATGAATCAGTCTTCCAGCTCTTTGGAAAGAAACCCTTCCATCAATCCCCCAAAAGAGTCGCCGCCAGCCATGAGAGAGTCCTGAAGGAGGTATGGTGACTCGCAAACCTCCATGGATGTGATGAAGCTCACCTTGGGCCGCTGTGAACAAGAGCAACAGTATGTTCGACAGGCTGCAATTGTCAAAAAAAAGCAATGTGTCAGGTGATCAGCCTCTCGATGTCTTTGAAGAAACATCAAGAAGAACATCAAGAACTAGACTTGACCACTTGACCCTAACATGGGTAATCAATTCTGTTCAAAGGTGAGACTTGCTGGCAAAAGCCGACCATCAAATCCTTAGAATGCCGTCAGGAAAACGCGCACCCCCCCGTGTTAAGCATTTCAACTTGATCTTCCCATATCTTCCCTTCAGGACTCTGAGTCCACCTTTTGGCGAGACAGGACCGTCCATCACTCCAGATCGACCCAAATGACGTGTGCCCCTCCAGCGACACATGGCGAAAGCCAACCAAATGGCCAGGGATAGGGTTTCTGCCTTCCACGCTACATGCTTCATGAAAAACCAGTCTAACCATCTCGATTTGAGGAAACTGTAATTCTCCCTTGGGATGGCGAAGGGATCTGAATGGATGAAGACATATCGTAACTGTTCATTGTAACATTGTATACAGGTGGACCACGGGTGGATCATTTTGCTATTCTCCCATTTCGCTACTGCTATGGGAAAATCTGACAGTTTCAATCGAACAAAAAAACAGAACAACTCTTGCAAAAGGTTCACTGCATCCTTCCTGACGTCTGTGGTCAAGAGCTGCAGCACTCGCTCCTCAGCTGGATGAAGCTGAGGCTGTGATCTGTCCCCCATGCCGCACGTGGCGTGAATGGAATTCGTCCGCACTGTAATGTATCCCGTTGGGATCCAGTCGTACCGAACCTCAGAAGGTACTTGGACCCTCCAAACCTACCTTCTGAGAAGGTACTTGGATCCTTAGGGTATAGTATATATGCAACACCCAAAGTCATCAAATCCCAAATGAACAGAATCGTCCACCTGCTGTGGACGGTGACCTTTTAGCACTATGTTGTGCGTCTGGCCTGGCTTGATCCACACCCAATGTCCAACTGCACACCCGAAGTGCATCATGAAACTCCAAACAAATCCAGCCTGCAAGCTCCACCCCCAAAATCGGGTACGGTAAGTGCAACATAATAGTGGAAACCAAAACGCTTCTTTGCAGTAGTACTGGCCTCTCCAAGGGCCATGAACTCTGCCGAGCATCCCACTGGCGTCCACGTGCGCAGGCACTGAGCGCTGCATTGAAGCAAGACGTTTCAGTCTTCGGGTCTCTGCCCAAGGTTCGGCTGAGCTGTAGCCAATGGAGAGCACCCTCCCACCTACAGCGACGTAGCTGTGTGGGTGTGCGGTGTGTGCCAACGAATGAGGACGGGCCTAGTGGGTTTAGGTTGTTATTTGCACTTGAAGGTTGTGGATGTGGACTGGTCTGACTTCAAAACCTCTGTGGCAGCACCAGCAAGTGAAAAAAGGTGATAAATAATGTCTTTCGTTGGGCCAAAGAAGGGACAACAATGCAATTCTACTGCTCATTAATTAGTAGGGTCGTCATGAGTCCTAAAAGAGTTCTTCGTGTTGTGGACAACAATCAGACCCAAAAAAAAGGCCCAAATGGACAAACAAACTGTACCCAAAAATAGCATAGCACCAGTTAGAGGAAATCATCCTCTAAAAACAACTCTCTGCGGGTCTGCTCTATCGTACCATTTGTCTCTACTGCCTTCGTTCCACCTCCAGCTGGGACTCCCAGCCAGTGCCCGGTGTATCAGTTGCTCTTCCTAGAAACACCGCTGAATCATCGTCCCAGGAACCAGCTCCCATCTGAGGTCGCACTGAGAGCAACCACCATGGTCAAACGCGAGGGCCTCCCGCATAAGGGACCAACGTGGGCAGCTAACAAGCTGTGACTTTCATCTCTCATGCACAGGCAGTGCTATTTGAGGGTCATCTACTTGTAGCTGCATTGAAATTCCAGAGAGGGTAGTTAGGTAATTCAAGACTAACTGCCCTATATAAGGCCGCCTCTCGAGACCTTGAAACGATTTGACACGATAGCACAATCAACAAGGTGTCCGATCATATCGTGCTCTATCCGGCTCGAGACCCCAAAAATTTCACTTTTTGTTCCAATCCGAACAGCAGTGCCCTGCAAAAATAAAAACAAACATGTGGGAACCACCATCAAACCCAGCCGACCAGAGCTCGAGAAATACCTTCAAAACTGCCTGGGCCCTGCAAGCTTTAGTCGGTCAAATTTGCTTGTGTTTCAAGCCAGAAAGACCTTCAAACCGCTCAGCATGCTACCTGCCTCACAGATGCTCGAATGCCATCCTCAAGGAGCGCCAGCGCCTCGGCATCAGCATGGAGGCGGTGGGCAAGCCAGGTACACTGATGCAGGCTGGAGAGAGGGACCCAGTGACATCGGAACGAGGGACAGTCTGAAAGGCTTGTGATTTGATAGTCTCAACACATGTGGCTCGTTTCAACCAAAAAAAGTGGTTGCAAGGCGCATTCTATTTTAAACATTCTGTAACATAAGTGACCAGAAGGCCAGGCTGAATTTCAAGTGAAGAGGATCACCTGGGGCTCTCTCTATGCAAAGTGGCTCTAAGCTGAAGAATTGGCCCGTCGATGATACAATATGTCTGCCAAACTCACAAGCGGTGTGACTGACCCCTTTCTCCAGAGCACTTGCTGCCATTGATGTCCTTTGGCACATGCCGATGCTGTAGCGTTCAAACTGTCTGCTCGGTGTCGTTCTGGTGCGAGAAGCCCTGGCGGTTGCCGCCCGCTCGACCCCCTCAGCCCTGCTAAGGGTGTCTCCGGTGTCTCCCCATTTTTGAGACTCTCTCTCTCTCTCTCTCCCTCTTCAAACATACAACAACATAACAACTTCAACAGCAGCTGGAATACACACCTAGCAACCACATGGTGCGGCCAGGAAGCTGTCAATCGAAATCAACGTGGCGAGTGTTCAAACATACAGTCCATCAAGTTTCAGAGAACTAATGTGGCCCTCAGATTTATAAACCCCCCTAGAATTATGTTTTTTTTTTCCCTGCACTGATTTATAAAGGCCCCTAGAAAAATGTATTTTTTTTTTTGGAGGGGTAGTTGTAGTGGATTTTTTTTTATTGTTATAGTTTACTTTTTCCCTTTTGAATTTGCTGGGATTTGCTTATCTTACAGGCTTTTGGATTGAGATTTCTATTATATAAACATTTGGAGATGTCCATTGAGATTTGATTCTTTTGGAGGCTTTTGGATGGAGATTTCTATTCAAAAATTTGAGATTTCCATTGAGATTTGATGCTTTTGGAGGCTTTTGGATCCCTTATTTAAAAGTATTAAAAAAACAAAAAAA